ACTTTTCTTCGTGTTCTATAGTGCTTTAGTTTTCGCGCGAAATCGGGCGAAATCGGAGAGATCTTAGGGGGGTGGGGAGCGATAATACCGGTTCGTCTCCCGCGGACGTGCGGCGTGGGACGACCTTGGTATGATGACTACTTAATGCATCTGTTGATGTTGTTACGAGTTATGATACCGCTTCGGGGGCGGCGTGGTGGAACCCGCGGCGGCCTTAAACCGACGCACCACGCGCAATAGGGTTGTGCCAAGGGGGGGGGTACGTGGCGGCTGTGCATAGTTGGGTGGTATCTGCTATGGGTTGAAGTCGACAGGAAAAAAAAGTTGGTGCCGCATTAAGCCTTCTTGATGATGATGGCAACGGGGGTGGTGATTGCAATAGTCCAGAAGGCATGTATGTTTCTGGATGCGTGAAGAGAGAGAGACAGGGGCGCGCAGGGATTTGACGGGAAGTGGCGTGAAACCATGTTAGGAAGGAAATATCACCGCTTGTCTTCGTGGCATGTGACTTAGCTATAGAGGTATATCCATCTCAATATGTTGATTCCTCCTCTAACACTAGCGGTTAGGGTAAACTCTCCCCTACGGGCTTCACCAGCCAGCTTGTGGATTCACCTCTTCTCTGCCTGCCGCTCCGGTGGCCGATGGCGGGGAGGGGAATCCGGTGCCTCCGCTCCAGTTAGTGGTTTAGGTTAGAGTATTCAGTCCTCGCAGGTATTTTCCGAGCTCCAATCCTCCCTGAGTTTATTTGTCTAGACATAGTCGACAGAGCTCCGGTGTAGATTATTGTCCTTTCATTGAGGCAGTGAGGTTAGGGTTTCTCGTCATGTGGCGAGATTTGATGCCAAGTGCTTCAGATCTATGCAAGGGTTCAAGGGAGGCTACTGTGATTCCAGGGTGTTAGTCGTTAGGGGCACATGCACGGAAACTTCCCGACTGTCATCGACACAAGGTCAAGCCGGCTCCGGTAGGAGAGCGGCCACAACGGCTCCTGGATGGCTCATTTTAGTGGCAGTAGTGGTCGTTTGGTGGTCTAGAAATCTCGATATAACTTTTATTATGTTTGAGATGTTTTGCACTTTCGGTGAACTTTTGCAATAGATCTGATCTTGTCGCAAAAAGAGCATATCCAAAGTCAAAGCAACTCTACCAGATGCCATATAGATCCGTCCCACAAAATTGTTATATGGTTCGCTCTAAAACGATTTTGCGGGAAGTTGTGCCACGACGCGTAACATATCTTGCAAAAAGAGTACTCGACATTTAAGATAAGTTGTGTTCTCGCTACATAATTCGTCCAGAACACACCGGACATCGTCTACACTAAAACTAAAACATAGATAGGGTAGAACTAGCTTGACATCGGGGGCGGCGACTCATGGCTTGACGTTGAGGTAGATGGAATAACGTTGCTCCTCTAGTCCCCTCCAGCCAGCACTTGCTCCAAAACGATGCCCCGGGGAGGGCGAACGACACCAAAGGCGTCGTCATCATCCGATCCGGGAGACCCAGATCTAGGGTTTCCCCCGGAGCATCCCGAGCCTGATGACGCAAACTGCAACGACGATGCCTCAACAAGGGAATGACATCAGGGACGCCGCCATCATCTGCCATGACGGAAGTCGGCGCGATTTTCATCGGCAGTCTCGCCACCAGTCTGTACGCCGCTGGCATCGCTGGTCCCTTCCACCTGAGCAAACTCCAAAGACGATGCCCTCAAAAGGGACCACGATACAAAAGCACCGTCATCGCTCGATCCCAATGAGATCTAGAGTTTCCCCCGGAGTTGCCCTCGGTGTCAAGGACCCAGACCAGGGTTGAATCCTGGCATGATCAGAAGAACCCGTCGAGATCCGCCCAGTCGTCGGCGGGCGCACCCGCCGCCATGGCGTCCGCAACCCGGTGACCATGGGTCAGTCACCGGACATCACGAACGCGTCCAGCCATGGTCAGATCTGGCTGAGGCCAGCGACCCCAACCAGCGATCCAGTGACGCCGCAACCCCCATCGCCATATGCTTGGATCTGATGGAGCCGCAGCCACAGCTAGCTGCCCCGCCTCCCAATGCGCTAGCACGTCCCACCAGAAATTCCGCGCAGCCGCCGCCGCACCGCCGCTGTCGGATTTCGGGTTCCGGCAAAACCCTTGAGGTTTGAACACTAGGGTGCGCACGAAGATTCCCCCCTAACGAATCTCGCTCTCAGCCTCGCCGCGATCCCTAAGCTACCTTGATGAACTCACAACACAAGAGACACAAGATTTATACAGGTTCGGGCCACCGTTGTGGTGTAATATTCTACTCCTGTGTGTGGTGGTGGTGGATTGCCTCTTGGGATGATGATGAATAGTACAAGGGCAAAACAGCCTCATGAGGAGAGGTGTTCTTGTGGTTGGTGGTTTGCTTGGGGAGGAATCGATCTGTTCCTCCTACTGTGGTGGCTAGCCCTATTTATAGAGGCACTCGTCCTCTTCCCAAATATTGAGCGGGAAGGGATCCAACAATGGCCAATTTGAAAGGGGACAACTAGTACAAGTTATCCTGACTAAAGGTGGTCTTCGCCTGTCAAAGGCGCGGGTGGTGACGCCGTCTTGGGCTCCACGATGACCTCCATCCTGCCATCCTGCTGGTCTTGGTCTTGTTGCACCGATATGGAAACCTTTGCCTGATGCCTCGGTACTCCGCGCCTGCGCTTGCCCCCTTAGCACCAAAGGGGAAACAAGGACACTACGCGCGTTGGCACCCGCCTGGCCCCCGCTTGGTCTTGGTCGTCATGGCTTGCGTCACAGGAGCCTCGCGAGGTACCCCTTGCCTTGATCTCTCCGCCTCCTCGCGAGCCTGCCTGGCTAGGCCGCTCCTAAAGAGGCCTTGTGTCATCCGCCTCACGAGGCTTGGCCCCTCGCGAGGGTCTTGAGTATTGGTTGATGAAGACGGGCCATACTGGGCCACTGGTGGAGCCACACCGCGGGCCAGAGGCAGGCGAGTCTGGGGACCCCCGTTCCCAGAACGCTGACAGTCGCGCCCACAACATAGCTGGCCGCATCGCTGCCAAGCCGCCCCCCGCGAGTGCCTCGCTCCTCACTCGCACGCTACATCCCGCGCCGCAGGGCAGTAGTGGAGGAGGGAAAAATGGCCCCACCACCACCGACGCCAGCCAGGCTTCGCCCAGCCGCGCCCTCTGATGGCGGCGAGGAGTAGGGGAGGTTGGGGATGTTGGAAATATGAGCAATTTACCAAATAATTTTATTAACAGAAATACTAGAGAACGCATGACTAATATAGCAGAGATAAAGTAAGTCAAGCAAACTGATAGAAAGAAGATAAATAGCATCTGCATATATGAACTAGAACAGAACACATCTAGAATAGACACTAGAGCAAGAAG